TAGAGGTCATTAAGTCCAGTCCACACTCACAGAAGCAAACTACACAGGGATGTGTTCACGAGGAGGTGGGATTGCAAAGAGCCATTCAGGAGAGAAGCAGAAGGCTCCAAAATGTTCCCAGTAAGAAGGTGGAGCCAGGTGTGAACCCAACTGTGCCCTCAAAGTTGGGCCCTGGTTGCACTTGGGTTTTCTCAGGGGACTATGGAAAAGGCTGTTAGTAGAATGAAGCGGGGGAGGGGGGCACTGAGCAGCCTGGATGGACATTTAGCAGCCCGTCCATGCAGCATTTGGGGCAGAGGGAGCTAGGGCCACTGCTGCATTCACACTCAGTTTCTGAATCTAATTCCTCATTGGACAATTGGGAAACTGAGGCTTATGGAGAGGCAAAATCAAGGAGAAATAAAGACTTTCCCAAACAGAAGCTGAGGGAGTTCACTGTCATTACACCTGCCTTACAAGAAATGATGAGAGGTGTTCTTTAAACGTTAAACAAAAAGATGCAAATTAACATCATAAAACATATGGATATGTGTGTAAAATCTACTGTTAAAAGTAAATAAAAGGGATCCCTGGGTGGCTCAGCGGTTTGGCGCCTGCCTTTGGCCCAGGGCGCGATCCTGGAGACCCGGGATTGAGTCCCGCATTGGGCTCCCGGCATGGAACCTGCTTCTCCCTCTGCCTGTGTCTCTGCCTCTCTCTCTCTTTCTCTCTCTCTGTGTCTATCATAAATAAATAAATAAATAAATCTTAAAAAAGAAGATATATTTCTCAATATTGTAATTGTACATAATTCACTTATAAGTCTAGTTTATAAGTTTAAAAAATGTATTATAAAAAAATGTAACTGCAATAATTTGCTATTGGATGGATGCACAATATAAAAAGATGTAAACTATAACACCAACAACCAAAAAAAAAAAAAACACCAACAACCTAAAATGTGAGGAGGGTGGTGAGTAAAAGTGAAAAGTTTAGTAATGCTATCAAATTAAACTGTTAGCAGCATAAAATAGAGTATTACATACACAAGATCTTAAGAAAGTATTATATGGCAATCTCAACAAGGATAAAGGTTGAAGCATTACACTTCCTGATTTCAAAGTGCATTACACAGCTGTAAGAATCAAAATACTGTGCTACTGGCATAAAAACGGACACATGGAGACCAGTGGAACAGAAGAGAACCCAGAGATAAAGTTCATATGGACAGTCAACTAACATTTGATGATGGAGCCAAGAATATTCAATGGGGAAAAGGTAGTTTCTGCATTTAGTAGTGCTGGGTAAACTGGATAGTCATGTGCAAAAGAATGAAACTAACTCTCCATCTTAAACCGCTCAAAAAATTAACTCAAAATGGATTAAAGACTTAAATGTAAGTCTGAAACTATAAAACTCTGAGAAGACTGACGACATAGGAAAAAGCTTTTTGCCATGGGTCTTGGAAATGATTTCTTTCATATGACACCTACATCACAGACAACAAAATAAAAAATGTAAATAAGCAGGATTACAACAAACTAAGAAGCTTCTGTACAGTAAAAGAAATGATCAACAAAATCTAAAAAAAATCTACAGAACTGCAGAATTTATTTGCAAACCACATATCTAAGGGATTAATATTTAAAATATGTAAAGAACACAACTCAACAGCAAAAAAAATCAATTTAAAAATTGGCAAATAAAAAAAAATAAAAAAAATAAAAATTGGCAAATAACCCGAATGAACATTTTTACAAAGAAGATATTGAAATGGCTAAGTTATATAGGAAGTGGCTCAACCTCACATTAGGGAAATGCAAATCAAAATCACAGTCTGTTAGAATTCAAAAAGATAAGAGCTAACAGATGCTGGCGAGGATGAGGAGAAAGACCCATGTGCATTGTTGGTGGGAATTACAAAATGGTATAGCCACTAAGGAAAATGAAGGGAGATTCCTTCAAAAATTAAAAATAGTACTACCAGGACACCTGGGTGGCTCAGTGGTTAAGCGTCTGCCTTCAGCTCAGGGCATGATCCCAGGATTCAGGATGGAGTCCCACATCAGGCTCCCCACAAGGCATCTGCTTCTCCCTCTGCCTATGTCTCTGCCTCTTTCTCTGTGTCTCTCATGAATAAATACATAAAAATCTTAAAAAAAAATACTGAAACTACCATATGATTCAGCTTTTAAAATCCAAACTAAAATTGAGATTTTTAACTCAATTAAAAATTTAGTATGTACCCAGGGGCACCTGAGTGGCTCAGTTGGTTCAGTGTCCAACTCTTTTTTTTTTTTTTAGATTTTATTTATTTATTCATGAAAGACACACAGAGAGAGGCAGAGACACAGGCAGAGGGAGAAGCAGGCTCCATGCAGCGGAGCCCATGTGGGACTCGATCTTGGGACTCCAGGATCACACCCCGGGCCAAAGGCAGGCACTAAACTGCTGAGCCACCCAGGGCTCCCCGAGTGTCCAACTCTTGATTTCAGCTCAGATCATTATCTCAGGATTGTGAGATCTAATCCTGTGTGGGGCTCTGCAGTGAGCAGAGTCTGCTCAAGATTCTCTCTCTCTCTCTCTCTGCCCCGCCCCCCACTTGTGCGGTCTCTCTCTCTCTCAAATAAAAAAAAATTAAAAAAATAAAAATATTTTTAAAATTTAGTATATATCTAGGAGAAATTAAATCATTGTTCTGAAGAGATGTTTGCAGCCTTATGTTCACTGCAGCATTATTTAGATAACAAATGGAAACTTCATGTCAATCAAAAGATGACTGGTTAAAGAAATTGGGGGATATGTAATATATATACATATATGTAAACATGGAATACTATTCAGTCATGAAAAAGGGAAATCATGTCATTTGTGACAACCTGGATAGCCCTGAGGGCACTGAAATAAGTTAGATAAAGACAAATATTGTATGATCTTACTTGTATATAGAATATAAAATAAGCTAACTCATAGAAAAAGAGATCAGATTTGTGGTTACCAGAGGCAGGGGTTTGGAGTGGGGGATCAGGTGAAGGTGGACAAAAGCTGCAAATATCCAGCTCTAAGAGAAATAAGTTCTGAGGATGTAATTTAAAAAATCGTAACTTAATGGGACACCTGGGTGGCTCAGCAGTTGAGCATCTGCCTTCAGCTCAGGGCATGATCCCAGGATTCAGGATTGAGTCCCACATCAAGCTCTCTGCGAGGAGCCTGCTTCTCCTTCTGCCTGTGTCTCTGCCTCTCTCTCTCTCTCTCTCTCTCTGTGTGTGTCTCTCATGAATAAATAAATCTTTAAAAAAATAAAAATTGAAAAATAGTAACTTAATTAACAATGTATTATATATTTGAAAGTTGCTAAAAGAATAGATCTTTATTTGATCACAAGGAAAATAATTGCAACAATGTGTGTTAAGAAAGGTTAACGAATCTTATGTGGTAACCATTTTTCAACATACACATAAATCATTATGTAATACGTCTAAAACTTATACAATTACATGTCAATTATATAATAAAAGTGGAAAAACACCTGTAACCTAAAATGATACCACTCTTAGAGCAGCCTCCATGTTGCATTCATATAATCATCTTTATTACATGTTCTTTTAAATAATTCTCTAGATGCAGTAACATCCATTCACTTAACAACACAGTTCTCTTCACAGAAGGCAGGTAATACTATGCTAATCATATTTATTACATGATCTTTAAAAATCTCTCTAAATGCATTACAGAAATGCTATCACATGAATTCCTGGAATAACATTCTAGTCAAAGGAGCTTGCACAGATCACTCATATAGCAAATGTTAACATGTGTGGTTTTTTTTTATTCCCAAGAACACGTGTGTTTTTAATCACTTCTCTACCTGCATTACATTATGACAACACATCCATTACGTTAGATAACACTGTTTTCCTAGCCAGTAGGCAGCACACTTAAAAACTTCATTACATGTGTTTTTAAACTTCTCAAAATGCATTATAGAAGAGCAATCATACCCATTCCCTGAAATAACACCCCTCTCAAAGTAGCTTCCACATAATACTCATCTAACCATTTTTATTGTTTTTAAACTTTTATAATGTTTTACAGAATGTCTATAGCATACGTCCCCTGTAATAACACTCTTATCAAGGTAGCTTGCAAGTTTTTTGTTTTGTGTGCCAGTCTTAGCCTGTTGATGACCAGTGTAGCTGGACAGGCCTGCATTGTTCTTAATATGATTGCAAGATGCCTCAGCAATAACCATCAGAAAACTTAAAAAAAAATCAAAAACAGGTTTATTATTTACAAGTCCTGAAAATGATACACACATCTGAGGCCACATTTCAAAGTTGCAGGTGGGGGAAGAGGGTTAGAGTTTAGCTTTTATTGGAGTTGAGGGTAGGAGTCTAGGGTTTCATGGGCTCACTTTATTGGTAAATTTTAAACATAAGAGTGGAAATCTAAAGCATGGGAAAAGAAAAAACAAGTGGCTCAAATGGTCAGTTACCAAACCAACCAAGATAAACGGAGCCTCCGGGGTGGGGTGCAAGCCAGCTCTTACTTGCATGTTATGTGGCTGGCATGCAGGTGGCAAAAGAGAGTCACCTTTGAACAGGATGCCTTGGATGCTTTGTTGAAGTGCACCCTTAGCAATCAAAGCTTAAGTCAGGTGCTTATGTTACAAAAAAGAGAAAACCCAACTGTCAGAGCTTATGCGACAAGCATTCTTATATCCATCTTTATTAATTACAATTTTATTTATTCATTAATTTATTTATTTAAGATTTTATTTATTTATTCATGAGAGATACACACACAGGCAGAGGGAGAAGCAGGCTCCATGCAGGGAGCCCAATGTGGGACTCAATCCCGGAACTCCAGGACCACGCCCTGGGTCGAAGGCAGGCACTAAACAACTGAGCCACCCGAGGATCCCTTAAGTACAATTTTAAACACTTCTCTATGTTAATACAAAATAGATATCACATCCATGCCCTGAAATAACTCTTCTCAAAGTAGAATGCAAGTAGCACTCTTAGAGCCACAGTAGTTACATTTGGTTTTTATTTCTCTTTTAAATGCCTTACAGGTTGGATATTACATCTATGCACTCAAATAACAATCCTCTCAGTGATTTATGTATCACTCTAATAATGATTTTTATGTCTATTTAAACACTTCCCTATATAATGTACAGAATGTTTAAAATGTCAATTTCTTAATATACTCAAAGTCACATTACTCTTATAACCATTTTTATTATGTATTTCAAACACTTCTTTAAATGCATTCTGAAAGGTTATCATGTCCATTCCTTGAAATAATATTCTTCTCAAAGTAACAGACACCTAGCACTATAACCATCTCCATTACTTTAAAAAAATTACCTTAATGTGTCATTGATATAGCTATCACACCTGTTCCCTTAAATAACACTCTTGTCAGAGTAGGTTACCTGTGCCCTCATAAAACTATCACAATTACATAAGTTTTAGACATTTCTCTAATGCATTACAGAATGTCTATCACATCCTTTCCACTAAATGACACTCCCTATGATAGAATACAGATTCCACTTTCATAAACACCTTTACTTTATGTGTTTTTCCCCCAACTTTATTGAGATTTAATTGATACACTCACTGTATGGTATAAATTTAAGGTGTGTGTACTGCATAACCTGGCATACAGGTATATATACATACATATATATGATGAATTATCATAGTAAGTTAACATCCATCATCTCATATAGATACAAAAGAAAATAATTTTCCTTGTGATAAGAACTCTTAGGATCTACTCTCTTAATAATTTTCATGTATACCATATGGCAGAGCTAATTAGTTATCATATTGAACATTCCATACCCAGTATTTAATTTATAATGTACAGTTTATACATTTTGATCACTTTCATCCAATTCTCACATCCTCTACCCACCACCTCAGGTGACCACAAATCTGAATTATTTTTCTACAAGTAGTTTTTCATTTGTTTTTGCTTGGTTTTTAGATTACGCATATAAGTGAGATCATACATTTGTCCTTCTCTGTCTCACTTCACATAGCATAATGCCTTCAAAGTCTACCTAAGTTGTCACAAGTGGCAGGATTTCCTTCTTTTTTATGGCTGAATATTCTACTATGTATGTGTGTATGTGTGTACCACATCTTCTCTTTCCATTCATCTGTCGGTAAACACTGGGGTTGTTTCCATGTCTTAGCAATTGTAGGTATGCCACACCTGACATGGAGTGAGATATCTCATTGACATTTTGTTTCCTTCAGATGTGTTCTCAGAGGTAGAATGACCTAATCATATGGTAGTTGTATTTGTAATCTTTTGAGGAATCTTCATCCTATTTTCTACAGTGTCTGCACCAAGTTACAGTCCCACCAGCAATGCAAAAGTTTCCCTTTTCCCCACCCCCTCAGTATTATTTTTTTCTTCTGATCACTCTAACAAGCACAATCTAACAAGTGATTTCCATTGGCACTTCTCTAGTGATTGGTGATATTACCTGTTAGCCATTTGGATATCTTCTTTGGAAAAGTGCTCACTCAGATCCTTTGTCTATTTTTTTTTAAAGATTTTACTTATTTATTTTTTCACTAGAGAGAGAGACAGAGAACAGGCAGAGGGAGAAGCAGGCTCCCCGGGGGAGCCTGATGCGAGACTCAATCCCTGGATCCCGGGATCACACCCTGAGCCACCAAAGGCAGACATTCAACCACTGAGCCACCCAGGTGTCCCCCTTTGCCCATTTTTTAATTTAAATTTTTTTCTGTTGAATTGCATGAGTTCTTTATATCTTTCAGATGTTAACCCTTCATCAAATATATGGTTTACAAATATTTTTTCCCATTCTATAGATTGTCTTTCCATTTTGTTGACCATTTCTTTTGTTGTGCAGAGCTTTTTAGTTCAAGACAGTCCCACTTGTTTATTTTTGTTACTTGTGCTTTTTAGGTGGTCATATCAAAAATAATCATCACCAAGACTAATATTAAAGAACTTTTTATCTATATGTTTTCTTCTAGGAATTGTATGGTATCTGGTCTTGCATTTAAGTCTTTAATCCATTTTGAGTTCATCTTCATGAGCAGTGTAATATAGGGGTTGTTTCATTCTTTTACCCTTGAATGTCCAATTTTCTCAGCACTATTTGAAGAGACTGTCTTTTCTCCATGGACTATTCGTGGCTCCCCTGTCAAATATTAGTTGACTGTATAGGCATGGGTTTACATCTGAGCTCTTAATTTATTTCTATGTCTGTAGAAATAGACACCATACTATTTTGATCATCTTAGCCTTATAACATGGCTTGAAATCAGGAAGTGTTAACCTCCCACAGTATTGCTTTTGTTATTCAGGGTGTTTAGCTGCTCCATACAAAATTTTAGGATAATTTTTTTTTCTGTTTAAATTTCCTTTGGGATCTTGATAGGAATTGCACTGAATTTATAGATGGCTTTGATTACTATGGAAGCCAAAAATATTCATGCTTGTATCAATTCATGCTTGTATGAATGGAATGCCTTTCCATTCATTTGTGGGTTTTTTTTTTTTCCAATTTCTTTCATCAGTGTCTTAACAGTTTTCAGTAAAAAAAACCTTTCATCTCTTTGGTCAAATTTATTCCTAGGTATTTTACTGTTTTTGATGCTGTGTATAGCAGAGTTTTATTTTTGAAAATTTGTTTTTAGTGTATCAAAATGCTAATTTTGTATCCTGCAACTTCCCTGAAATCTTTAACAATATTTTGGTGGAGTCTATAGGATTTTCTCTATATAAAATTATCATCTGCAAATATAGACAATTTTACTTCCTCCAGTCCTATTCTGATACCTTTTCTTCCTTCTCCTTGCCTAAATGCTCTTCCGGTACTATGTTAAATATGAGTGATGTCAGGGCACACCTCTTCTTTCTGACCTTAGAGGAAAAGCTTTCAGACTTCCACCAATGAGTATGATATTAGTTATGGGCTTGTCATATACAGCCTTTACTATGTTGAGATATGTTCCTTTTATAATTGTTAGATTTTATCAGGAACAGATGTGAAATTTTGTCAAATCATTTTTCTTCATTTTTGAGATGATATGATTTTTTAAATTTTGTTCTTTTAATGTGTTGTTTCACCTTTATTGATATGCATATGCTGAATCATCCTTGCACTCTAGGGATAAATCTCACTTGAACATGGTAAAAGATCCTTTCAGTGTGCTGCTGAATTTGGTTTGTTGATATTTTATGGAGGATTTTTGTATCTGTATTCATCAGAAATATTGGCCTATCATTTTCTTTTGTTGTAGTGCCCTTTTCTGGCTTTGGTATGGCCTCATAGAATGAATCAGGAAGCATTCCTTCTTCTGTTTTTTGGAATAGTTTGAGGAGGATATGTATTGGTTTGTTTTGGTGTGTTGTCTTTCCATTTTCATTTGTCTCAAGATACTATTTTACCCATTTAATTTATTCTTTCATACACTAGTTTTTGAGAGTGTTGTTCAATTTCCGTGTATTCGTGATTTTTAAAATTATTCATACTGTTGTAGTCAGAGGAGATATTTGGTATGATTCCAATCTTCTTGTTGCTAAGACTTGTTTTGTGGGCTAACTTATGGCCTACCCTAGAAAATGTTACATATGGGCTTGAGAATGTGTAATTCTGCTGTTGTTGGATAGAATCCTCTATATATGTTCATTAGGTCCATTTCATATATTGTAATATTCAAACCTGCTACTTAATGACTGATTCTCCCTCTGGATGATTTATCCTTTTTGAGAGAAGGGTAATAAAGTCCCCTAATATTATTGTATTGCTGTTTATTTTTCCTTTTAGCTCTGTTAATTTTACTTTATGTATTTGTTTGGCACATAAATATATACAAATATCTTCTTGATGAGTTGATGCCTTTAACATTATATATTTTCTCTTTTTACTGTTTTTAAACTTGATTTTGTCTAACTACCTCTGCTATTTTTGGTTACCATTTGCATATAGAGACCTTCGCTCTCTATTTGTATATGTCTTAATGCTAGAGTCTCTAGTAGGCAACATATTGTGGAATTGTTTTATCCGTTCAATCATTCTATGTCTTTGAAGAAGCCATCTTTAAAGTAAGTATTAAAAGGTAGGGGCTTACAATTGCCATTTTGTTCACTGTTTTCGGACTCTTTTGTAGATCCTTTGTTTCTTCTTATCCATTTGTGTTTTGATGTCTTTTGGTCAGTATGCTTTATCATGTTCTTTTGTGTAAATGCTAGGTTTTCCCTTGTGGTATCTTAAAATTACAACAGTCTATTTTAAACTGATAACAAATTCAACAGCATTCCTAAGCTTTATACTTTTACTTCTCCTCTCTTGGACTTTCCCATTATTGATGTTATAGTGTATATATTTTTTTATATTGTATATACAATATAAGGTTATTGTATTCATGGTTACTTTTACTAAGTTTTTTTTTTTTTTTTTTTAACTTTTAAACTAGCATTGTTAGGGAATTTGTACCACCACAGAACAAGCCTAAGACCACACACACAAAAACAGCATTGCAGGGCTTGGAGCTGGTTCCCCTTCCACTCAGCCAGGGGAGCTAATATAAAACTACTGAGTGCAGGGCCCACCCCACCGGATGAAAAGGCCTAACGTGAGCACGGGGAAGCTGCCTAACCCCATGACACTTGAATGGAGATCACAGCCAGCCACTACACATCTGCAGAGTGAGGACACTAGCTCCATTTGACCAGAAAACTTGGGGCACTCAAGTTCTGCCTGGCCAGCTCCCCAAGCAAGAGTTTTGCCAGCCTGTTTGCCTATTCTGTGGCCTGGCCTCAGCAGGGACACTCCTCCAGTACTCTGCCTACTGCTGAACACAACCTCTCACTGCAGAACTGTTAGAACAGGCAGCTCAATAACATCCTCATGAACACTTCACTCTGCTCTACCATCCTCAGTCCACAATGTTCTTCTTCGAGTTGCAAGACAGAATTGTCAAGTCCAGACATAAAACATTTCAGCTGGGCAAGAAGGAAATCATTTCCAGAAGTTTTCAGAACACATCTGCAAACAACGCTGGAGAGAACTAGAACATGTGCTGATCCCAAACAAATCTCTGAGCGGAATGTCTTGTGACTGGCTTAATCCAATCAACCTTTACCTCTGGACCTTCCAAGGCTAAGGTGAAAAACAAGTTAAGGCTCTGCCATCGAGGGAAAAATGAGTGTTGGGTACAGTCTCTAAGAACCTACCAATTGTTTGGAAGTTAATTTAAGATATAAAAGAATAACACTCATATTAAATTGCCCCTATGAGCTAGCCACTATTAATGTCCCCATTTTACAGATGAGACTCTAAGTACAGACAGTAATTTGTTTCAAATCTATTAAGTGATAGGGCCAGACAATATAATAAGATCCCAGGCAATCTGGCATCTAATTCTACAGCCTCCCTTATATTGGGAAGTAAGGGATAAGACAAAATATGTATATACAGCATCATAGTAGATAGTTCCTGTTACACTTTGGCTATGCAATACATAGTACCTAAGTAGATTTCTCATCTGAATATTTTGGCTGCATATTTTCTTCATGTAATGGAAAGCAATACTGTGTTGAGTTCAAGTAGCACTGTTCACACCTGCTTTCAATAACTGACTTGATATTGCTTATTTTGTGTAATTAGTATTTTCATTACACCCACTTGTGGACTCTAAGGCAGGTGAAAACTTCATAAACATGATGTTTGAATTCTTTATTGAAGAATTAATACAAAACACTGGCCATATCCACTTTTATAAGCCAGGAAACTGAGAGAACAGGTATAAGATATGATAAAATTGTGGAGTATTATTTCACTTAAGATGTATATTGCATAAAATTAATTTGTTAGCTTTTACTATGGAATACTTTTGTTATTGGTCACATAGCAAAGGGAACAAAATATTTTCGGTATTAAACTCATATATATACACTTATTACACAGGGATTCTTCATTTTTCCCCCACAGGGATTCTTGACACACGTGCTTACTGCTGTTGTCCTAATTATTCTCTTGTATGTTTTTTTAAAGAAGCTGCTGGAGGAATCTAAGCAGAGAGCAAACAATGCCAGACTTTTGGGGATCCCTGGGTGGCTCAGTGGTTTGGCGCCTGCCTTTGGCCCAGGGCGCATCTGGGAGTCCCGGGATCAAGTCCCACGTCAGGCTCCCTGCATGGAGTCTGCTTCTCCCTTTGTCTATGTCTCTGCCTCTCTCTATGTCTATCATGAATAAATAAATAAAACCTTTTTAAAAATGCCAGACTTTCTGCTTTTATTAAGGAACATTTATGCTCAAACATGAATATATTTAAATAAAAATTCACAAGTAATAAATTTTGTAAAATGAATACAACTACAATACTGAGCTAAAAAGAATACTATTAGCACCAGAGGAGCCCCCTTACGTCAATCTCTGCAAACTGCCCTCATCCAAAAACCATCATTCCAACTTCTAACACCAAGTATTACATTTATCTGCTTCTTGAATGAAAAAACATAGCACTTACTCTTCTGTGTTCTTTTGCATGCATACAATTGTGTTTCATTCATTCCTACTGCTATAGAATACAGCACTGGAAGAAAAGCGCAATTTATGTATGCAGTTTAGTGTTGGTGGCCACTTGTGCGGTTACTACTTCCGGGCTATTGAGAATACTACTACCACTACTACTAACTACTACTTCTAGTAAACACGTATTTCTGTTGGATATATGCCTAGAAGTATAATTACACAGCCAAAATTTACATGTATGTCCAGCTTTAGTACAAAAAGCCTATTTTCCAAAGTGCACAACTTACATTCCCACCAAACTTGTATTAGTCTCAGTTGCTTCAGGTCTTCATCAGTTTGGTGTTCTATCACTGTAGCCCTTCTGTATGCTGCGGTAGCTGTGGTATAACATTTTTGTTAGAATTTGTCTTTACTTGATGACTAATGAAATTGAACAACTTTCCATACTTACCGGTCATTTAAATATACTGTCAATTATGTTCCATCTGCTGCTCATTTTTTTTCTTACTCACTTGGAGTTCTTTTTATATTATGTAGAATAGTGCTTTGTTTGATATAAGCATTGCAATTATATTCTCTGAGTCTGTGACTCACTTTTAGCCATGTATTTTTCGTTTCTGTTTTTTTAACAACAGCAGTTCTTAATTCTTTTTTAAAAAATATTTTACATAGGGATGTCTGGTGGCTCAGCAGTTGAGCATCTGCCTTTGGCTCATGGCCTGACCCCAGAATCGAGTCCCACATTGGGCTCCTTGCATGGAGCCTGCTTCTCCTCCCTTTGCCTGTGTCTCTGCCTCTCTCAGGCAGAGGGAGGAGAAGCAGGCTTCTCAAGGGGAGTCTGATGCAGAACTCGACCCAGGGATCATGACCACACCCAAAGGCAGATGCTCAACCACTGAGCCACCCAGGAGTCCCACAGCTCTTAATTCTAACATAGCCTAATTTATCTATGGTTTTTGTTTCTTGTTTAGGGTGTCTTAGCCATATGTTCACATATATTTTCTTCTAAAAGTGCTACTGTATTGTTTTACATTTAGATGTACAATCCATACAAAACGAGTTTCTGTGTATGGTGGGTGGCTATAGTCAAAATATTCCTCTTATGCATATAGAGAGCCAATTAACCCAGCACCATTTATCAAAAATACCATCTTTTTAATACATGAATATATTGGGGACTGTTTCTGGACATTGTTTATGCTTGTGCCTATACCAGTCTTGATATCTAGCAATCTAAGTCTGGTAGGTTTATTTTTCTATTTTCAGGTTGTCTTAGCTACAGTTAATCATTGCATCTGCATGTTTTAAATTCAGATTTGCTCATTCCCTCCACTTATATTGGTCTTTAATGTCCCTGAATTTGGTGATGCAGTTTTTGGATTTCTAGAACTTACTTTCTTAGGACTAATGTAAACCTAACAGCAATTTAACAACAGTTAAAGTATACATCTTGATATAATTTGATAAACACACCTGTATAATCATCACCACCATATAGTGAGCCTACCCATCACCAGCAAGGATCACTGCCCCTGTATTGCCTGATGTCCACTGACATGAAAACAATTAACTATGTTTCCTTTCTCCCCTGTGTTTTTAGGCAGCAGGTAAATCTGCTATCTTGTCCTGAGTGGATTCAACTGTCCTGGTATCACTTAGTTTATTTTCTATTTGCAATTTATATAGATAAACAATTTTTCTTTTTTTTTTGATAAACAATTTTTCTACAGTGAGTTTGCCAAATCATTCTCATAATGTCTTCATAGATATTTTTCACATTTCTATGCAATGATACCACCTACCAATAATGAGCTATACTTCAGTCTTCCCCACTTAATGTCTTAAACTTTTTTCCTTTTGCCTTATTGGTAAGCTAGAGCCTTCAGTCCTATGTTAAATAGAAGAGGTACCAAGCATTCTTGTCTCATTAATACTAGGAAGAGCTATTTCAGTATTTATCTTCTTAGTATGATATTTGTTGTATGTTGATTTCCTTTTATTTTTAATGAGCTTCCCTTTCAGTCCTAATTTTTTTAGTCATGAATGGGTGTAAAGCTTAATCAAATATATTTTCTGCCATCTATTTAAATAATAAAGTGGCTTCACTTTTTCTACCGATGTGGTAGGTTATGTCAATTAACTTAAACTTGTAAATATTTATTCCAAAATAATTTCACTTATAAGTCATATACATACCAAAAAATTCCCATGTCCCCTCAGATTCTCCTAAATGCACTGTATCTCCTCCATCTGTCCCTTGCATACTCGCACTCTATACACACACACACACACACACTTATTAGTCTTTCTCTAAAGCCATTTGAAAATAAGCTGCAGACATGAAACTCCATTACCCCTACACACTCCAGAGTGTATTTCCCCCAGAGGCGTTATCCTACAGAACCACCCAATAATCATCCAAGTCAAGAGATAAATACTGACTGGGATGCCTGGGTGGCTCAGCAGTTGATCAACGGCCTTTGGCTCAGGGCGTGACTCCAGAATCCTGGAATTGAGTCCCATATCAGGCTCCCTGAGTGGAGCCTGCTTCTCTCTCACCCTGTGTCTCTGCCTCTCTGTCTCTCATGAATAAATAAAATCTTTTTAAAAAGAGATAAACATCACCACCCAATCCATACACTGAATTCTGTCAACTGTTCTAATAGTATCTACTCTTCCTTTGTTTTTATTTAAAAATAGCTGCAGTCCGGGTGGTTTTGTTGGTTGAGCATCAAACTCTTGGTTTCAGCTCAGGTCTTGATCTCAGGGTCATGAGATCAAGCCCCACGGTGAGTTGTCCACTCAGCAGTGAGTCTGATGATTCTCTTCCTCTGCCACTTCTACTTGCTTGCTCACTCTCTAAAATAAAAAAAAAAAAAATCTTTAAAATATTTCCATTCTCCCCCAATCTGGAATGGTTTCTCAGTCTTTTTCATGTCCTTCACATATTTAAAGAACATAGGCTTTGCATTCAGTAAAATAGTCTTTCAAATGGGTTCACCGGATATTTCCTAAGGAAACACAGGTCACGCTTTCTTGGCAAAAATACCACATGATGCTGGCTCTCTCAGTGCATCCCATCAGGGTACACATCATGTTGACTTGTCCTACTCCACTGGTGAGGTGAACTTTAATCACCTAATCACGTTGGTGTCTGCTGGGTTTAATCATAAAATCACCGCTTTTGCCTTTGCAGCTGATTAGTATTTTGTGGAGATATTTGAAGACTATTCCAACATCCTATTCTTCATCAAACCTCTATCCACAAACGCTAGCCTATTTTGGCAACTACCTCCTGAATCAACCACCATTCTGATGGCTGCCAAATGGTGTTTTTCTATTGTCATTATTCTCCCTACATTTATTAATTGGCATTAATCTGTAAAGAAAAGTTTTCCCTCCTCCTCCATGAATTTACTCATTTATTTATATCACTATAAATTAACGGAGTCCCATTTTATTAAGTCTCATGTATTCTGATGCTATGGTTATTTTGATGTTCATACTGTCTCAAATTTGGCCAGTGGAACCTGTCCAAGGTGGTTCTTTTGTCCCCATGATTCTTTCAACATTTTCTTACTGTCTGACAACTGGTGGGCTCACTGCTACTGGGTGTCACTGTGTGTAAGCCCTCTCAGCACAGTCCATAAAACACACACACACACACACACACACACACACACACACACACACACACACACGAGTTACATTCCAATCCAACATTCCAGGGTTTTCTAACTTTCCCCTTCTCCATTTTTATAAAAACCTCCAATCTGGCTCTCATCATCCTCAACACATTTTTGTATTTACTCAGTGTTACAGTATTTCAGCCATGCTGTTTCTTCCAGCTGCCCTCAACACACCTGATGCAAGTGTGCACATCACAATACCATTCTCATTCCCCAAGGCAGGCCTATTCTGACTTCCATTCTACAAGGGCAAGAGAAAAATACAGAAAGTACAAGGGAGAAAGGAGAACAAGAGGAAGAATTGGCCAAATTGATTTAATTTTAAATATTAAATCCTTTGACTCTTCTAATAAACATGGATATAACTGATTTTTTTTTAAGTTTACTATTATGCATTTTCATAAAATATCAGTAACTTTACTTTCCTGAAATGTCTTTTATAGGTTTTGGTATCAAGGTTGTACTGAGCTCACAAAATGATTTAGAAAAGCTCCATCCTCCTTTCTCTGTAAAAGTTAATAAAAGCTTGGTATTATTTCCTTCTTAAATATTTGGAATAACTATAGTGAAGCCATCTGTTCTTAGTTTTCTTTCTTGGCAGGTTTTTTTTTTTTTTTTAATTTTAAATACCAGATATTGTTTGCAATTGCAATATGGGAACTCTACCTCTGATAATGACCTTGCTTTTAATGGTAGCATGCTGTGCTCAGCAAGGGTCCATCCTACTGGCAGTTCACAAATTCTAATCATTTTTTCTCAGTACTTAAAAAAAAAAAATCTACATTCAGATTCACTTTTCAGGCTCCTGCTCTGCATGGAGTCCTTCTAAAAATTTCTTTAAAAACCAGTATATGTCTAACCTGTAATGTTTAAGAATTTTTCACTCCAGCCTTGACAGACTGGGCTCTGCCCTCCTACAAATAGTTTCCTCCTCTACCTGAGCCATACTCAGTACTCAGGTTCTTCCCTGTGGCCAGAACTAGCAAGTATCCTGACCAGGTAAAACAGCTGCATTTTGCCCATGTACTTTCTGTAATTCACTTCTCTCCTGAATTTTCCTTTTAGTCCTCTTTGCTTCATAGACTGCATTAAAATAGATACTTTTTGTGGTATTTTTCTAGTTGTTCTCATTAGTACACTGACCTGCTACAAGCTACTATAACCTACTCAGTCAGAGAATCTACTTGTGCTTTCTAAAGCTCTATATTTAAGAATTTATTTTTGCGTATGAATTTTTTAATTGCTACATCACAGATGAAAGGTGTTAAATATGTGGAGAAATAGATTTGGGTACAACATGTCACTCACAGAAGAAGACACTTGGACAAACTGTTAAACACTTGCCAGGGCAGAATCCACTTATTCTCCACACTCACTTATACTACATCCACTAAGTTGCATACACAGCAACTCACTTTTCCCCTTTGATCTACTATTCCAGAATGAGCCACTCAAAATGAGTCGGCCTCAGAATTACTAAAACTTCTTGCTGGCAAGCTCCTCCTAGAATTCTCCTAGATCTAGTGTGTTACTAGATCCAAAATCTTTTACTTGGACATCAGAAAATCCTGTTGGTCGGTCCTTTTGCTAAAAATCTCTTGTTCCGCATATGCCTGAGCAAAAAGCCTGACTTGCTTACAACTATTGGTCCCAGTGAGATGTATTTTCACATTTAATACATTAAATGGAGGAAAACAATACACCTGGCAATGAGCCAAATTGTATCTCAACAAAAATGCTATTTCTAAATGAAAACCATTATCCACATTTCCTAAATTGCTAGAATTCCTTCAAATTGAAAATCTCTGAGGTATAAGCTTAGATTTTAACTTAAAGCTTCCACTTATTTCAAGTATTTTCTCTAGTAACTTCTGACATCCACTGAGATACTACTTCAAGCATTTCATCCAAGTCTAATAAAATACCACCTCATAGTAAATGCTTTCCTATAGTTTCCTATAATTTGTGCCTTTTCTAAAGCCTCTGCATAAAGTCTTCTCTACTCTATGATGAGGACAGAGGTCTCTAACTTGTGTGTTTTCTTGATATTTAGTGAGGTGTGGCTTTGGGCAAAAGGTTCCCTACATTCATTTACCAATATGTTTCCTCTACTCTGAGCCTTCTGATGTATTGTATAATTCAAATTCCACCACAAAGTTTTCAATATTCCAAAGCTTCATATCTTCTCCCACAAGTTCTCTGATTGTGAGAATGGACCTTAGACCAAAGATGTTCTCAAAACAGTATATCAATGGATTTTTCTCCCTTTTTGTGTTCTCTTTCTATAAATTCTTGACTTCACCCAGAGTGATTTCCCTCATTTATTACATTTATAGAGTTTTTCCCCAAATGTGTTCGTTGATGTACAGTGAGTTTAGACTTCACATAGAATGATTTTCCACAAATGTTACATTCATAGGGTTTTTCCCCTGTGTGTGTTCTATGATGTGCAATGAGTTTTGACTTTACACAGAATGATTTTCCACATTCATTACATTCATAGGGTTTCTGTCTTATGTGAGTTCTCTGATGAACAATTAGGGCTGACTTCTGCCGGAAATTTTTCCCACATTCATTACATCCAAAAGGTTTCTCCCCTGTGTGTCTTCTCTGATGTTCTGTGAAACCCGAATAGTAGCAGAAAAATTTTCCACATTCAATACATTCATAGGGTTTCTCACCTGTGTGAGTTCTCAGGTGTTTGGTAAGGGTTGACTTCTCAGAGAAGGATTTCCCACATTCATTACATTCATAAGGTTTTTCCCCCGTGTGAGTTCTTTGATGTTTAATGAGGTCTGATTTTCTGAGAAAGGCCTTCCTACATTCATAACATTCATAAGGCTTCTCCCCTGTGTGTGTTTTTTGATGTACAGTAAGGACAGACTTAAATGAGAAAGCTTTCCCACATTCAAGACATTCATAAGGTTTCTCCCCTGTGTGTGTTCTCCGATGTTGAGTGAGGGTAGACTTTTCACTGAAAGATTTCCCACATTCCTGACATTCAAAAGGTTTTTCCCCTGTGTGAATTCTCCGGTGTTTAATGAGGTCAGAATTTTTATAAAAAGTTTTTCCACATTCATGACATTCACAAGATTTTTCCCCTGTGTGTGTTCTCTGATGTCTTGTGTGGGCTGACTTCTGGTTGAAGGTTTTTCCACATTCATGACATTCATAAGGTTTTTCTCCTGTATGTGTTCTCTGTTGTACACCAAAGACTAACTTTTCATTGAAAAATGTTCCGTGTTCATTATATTCAAGTATATTGTCAATTGAGTGGTTTCTCTGAATTGGAATGAGGTTTGACTTCTGGCTGAAAGGCTGAGCACTCTGGTGCTCAAAGAGAATGGATTCTTCCAAGAAATTTTCTCCACATTCATTAAATTCACAGTGACTCCCTCTTGGATGTGTTCTCCGATGAGCAAGGAGAGATGACATATCACAGAAGATCTTCCCATATTCAGAGTATTCACAGGTGTTCTTTCCTGTATAAGGTTTCTTATGTACAACAAAGAGTGAATTCTCATGGAAAGCTTTTCTACATTCGCTGTATTCAAAAGGTTGCTCCAAAATTTGAATTTTCTGATGGTGAATAAAGTCTTCATTAAGGTGGTCGTTCCCATTTTTATTATATTCATAAAGTTTCTCTTCAGAATGAATTCTTTCATACTTATCATTATGGAGCCAATTTCTACCTTTGTTAAACTCATTCAACTTCTTTCTTGAATTGTTTCTATTGCTATTAATTAATTCTGAAATATAAATAGAGTAACAAGAAAGATTAGTTGACAAGGGTATTTAGGAGAAACAGTTAGGTTTTGGGGAGTGGACAAGTTTAGGTCATTATCTCTTCATGTCTAGATTATGACAACAGTACATACACCTTCAGTCTCATCTCTCTTTTCTGTTCTACACAATAGCAATAAATCAAATTTCTAAGAACTCTAATTCAAAAGGGAATAGTACTATAACCCAATATCTAATATCTCTAATTCTGTTTCCAGCTGATTGACTAGGAATAAAAACACACAACAAAATAGCAAAATCAATGAGTGGTAACGCCATCCTCGCCACAGGACCAGATCAAAAGCTCCTTTGATTTATGGTGTTTTCCTAATACTCCATCAGAATTGTTCATTAGTGCACTTCTGACCATCAAACCCTCTTCTAATGTTTTCTGGCTTTCCTCCAACCAAATCTCACCTGATTTATCATTAGCTTTTAAACTTGCATATATGTATACATATGCTTTTATATCTCTGAGTAATATAAAAACCTACAATTCTAAACCTAGTTGTAGAACTTTCGTTTACCTGTACCTTAATATTTTTTACTTATGCACACCTGTCTTTATTCCTTTGCTATCTACAATACTGTACTTGTAATGACATATGATACAATTCTATAGAATGTCAATACTAATACTACGGAGTTCAATAACTAAGAACTGAAAATATTTTTAAAAAAGATTTAAAAAAATTTTTTTTAATCTTTTTTTACCTTTTTTTTTTTTTCAAATTGTATTTTGATTACTGCAGTGATTTTGTTCTTTTTTTCCAATTATTTCCGGTGACATAACACAGCTCATAATACATCTTCTTGTGGTCTTACTCTTTCTGAACCTCTTATTTGCCTACTTTATATTCTTGTATACCAGAAGCCATTAATGATGAAATCATCATTAATTTATATTAAGAAGTAGTAAAAATATCCAGGCATTACATGACAACATTTTTCAGGTGAATTATTTTCCCCCTGCCACTCGCTTGTCCTATCTTATTTTTTGTAGTAACTTTGAAAATACCTTGTGATGGCTGTTTTGGTTCTTTTTAATTCCTGAGCACTAAGAGGTGCGTTTCTTCCTGATCCAGGTTTCCCATGGGTGAACTGAGAACCATATTCCAAACTGGTAGGAATATTTATTAACAAGGGCACTACATGCCCTCCTTAATCTTTACTCTTATCCAACTGACAGAAGTCTTTTTGGTTTTTTGAAGTATCAAAGTCTTTTTCATTTTCTACAATTTCACAGATGGACTGTAACTTTCCAACATAGCCTGTGCCCATGAGTCTTGATTCTACCCCATCCCTCTGCTTCTCAAGAAGAAACCCAGTATAGAGATCTACCACCATCCTGAAAGCCCTTCCTGCCTTTCTAAAAGATTAGGTTTGGCAATTTGAGGTTCCATCTTTGAAAGTAGCAACTCTGAAATCTGCAGCCTTACACACACCTCCACCTGATATTTCACTACTACTGGCAACCCTTCATTTTGTTTTATTGTTGAGAGTTAAAACTTTCTGTTCATTCTTTCAAAAGTGGGGTTGGATTTGTATCTGTTAGTTCTTCTTGTATTCTTGTTTCTAAGAAGTCAAGGTTAAAATGCCAACTTCATGTTTCCATCTTCAAACCTGAGGTCTATTTACTTCTCCTTGAAATACATTCTTCTCTTGGCCTCTAGAATGTCACATTCTCATAGCTTTCGTTCATCCTCACAAACTCCTCCCACAGTCCCATCCTGCTGCTCAATACTCCTTATCTTCACTTCTAAACCTCTTGGTGCCCCAGGATTGAGCCATGAGACCACATCTCTCATTTATTTACATTCACGAACAAGAATATCTCATATAGTTCCCACAACTTTGAACGTCTTTGCACTGCTGGCATCCATGCTTACATATCATTACAAATAGTGTAACCTCTAAAAGACAAATAATTTTCTTTTTTTTTAAGACAAATAATTTTCTAAAAGAATATAAAATTAAAAGTTAATAGAGGCAAAATAAATTAATAATAATTTAAAAATCCAAAAGGAGTTGTGAAAGAAGGAATAAGAAAAGAAAGAAGAAATAGTACATAAGGAAAGAAATAGCAAGACTGTAGGCTTAAGCCCAATTATACCAGTAAACATAAATGGATTAAATAAGTAAGAAATTTTAAGTGTCAAACTAGATTTAACAAACTGCTACTGCTTTCAGTTTATAAGAGACACACTTTAAATATAAGAACATGGTAAGGCTGACAGTGAAGGATGATAAAGAACATACCAAGCAAACTTTAAAGAAAAGAAAGCTGGTGCAGCAACACTAATACCAGAATCAGACTTAAAGGCAAAGGTATCACTGCATATATGGAGACAGGCACTGCATAATGGTTGAAGCATACATTAAAAAGTGAGATGTAGGGATCCCTGGGTGGCGCAGCGGTTTGGTGCCTGCCTTTGGCCCAGGGCACGATCCTGGAGACCTGGGATCGAATCCCACGCCGGGCTCCCGGTGCATGGAGCCTGCTTCTCCCTCTGCCTATCTCTCTGCCTCTCTCTCTCTCTCTCTGTGTGACTATCATAAATAAATAAAAATTAAAAAAAAATCATGAATAAATAAAATCTTGAAAAAAAAAAAAGGAATACAGAAGACCTGAAAAAATACCTATACAAAACAATTACAGAGTATACTTCCTTCTTTAGTATGCATGGAACATTTATGAAAACAGAGAGTATCAACAAATTTCAAACAACTGAAATTGTTTTGAGAAACTGAAATTCTCTGTTTTAAATTAGAACGCAAGACTGAAGGATAACTAGAAAAAAAATGATTTTAGAAGCAACTCACTTCTCAACAGCCCATGGATCAAAGAACACATTTTAAAGGAGGGAGGCCCTAAAAGAAAGGTCCATGGCAGCCCTACAACCCCAGCTATGCCTCACTCAGGACCTAGACAGCTATGACTGTAAACCTGCCAATGTTGAATTTAGTTGATAGGACATGCTGCAAAATTTGCAGTAAGTGAAAAAAGGGGGAATTTAAAAACACTGCTCTGTACTGTTTCGTGGCAACTACATCCAAATATTCGGTAGAAAAGAATTTGGCATAAGTCCTACAGACAGTCATCCCCATCAAGGAAAGAAGTGTCTGTGAGTGAGGATTTAGTGTCCCTGTCTAGAATCTTACAATACTGGAGACAGAGCAAGCCTCCATGCTTGATGATTTTTGCCTAAGGAAGGAAGTGTGCAAAGGAGAGAACATGACTAGGGAGGCAGTGTCCACACAGACACTTTGGGAGTTGTCTTTTGAAAAAGTCGTTTTGTGTTTGCTAATGTGCTGTGTTATGAAAATCTGATGCCTGGCCCCACTGGAGTCTGATGATGGGTCTCTAGCCTGTTGAATCCATTTTTGGGTAGATCAACTTGGAATCTACCACTGGCAAGGTGAATAAGACTTTTTACAATAAAACCTGCAAGAACCAGACAGTGAGAAGTCACACTGAGCAGGACAGGGAGGCAGAGTTCCTGACAACTGCAAAATCTTTATTTCCAGGTGTACCCTCTGGGATTGTGCATGCGTGTGTGCATGTGTGAAAGTCAGGCATTAACTTGCAATCTAAGTGTGATCTGCACCCAAAAGTGGTTATCATAAACATTCAAGTATTTGAGGAAACACCTGCTAGTCCAACAGACCTCAGATATGCCTTCTGTGAGCAGGTTTACCTATAATGTGGTTATTCTATTAGAAAGGGGTACAGAATCTGTTCCTGCATTGAGCTGATATGCTTCATGACCCTGTCTCAGCCTGAAAGCCATTCAAGTCAGTTTTAACTGGCTGGCCAGAGCTCTATGAATAACAGAATGTGCCACAGACTTCTTCCTTGCAGGTCAAGATGAAGTTTGGGCAAAATACTAACACATATTGCTGCCCCTGGTTTGATGCCTTGGGCCAGGTGAAAGGTGAATGGAAACACTTGAAGAGCATCTAGCTTTCTAACACAGACCTTGGTGGTTAAAGACTAAACCAAACATGTACACCGAAAGGACTAGCACGTACGCAGAAAAACTGGCCAGAAGTCAGAAATAAAATGAGTGGTTGTGTAGGTCTGTAGGGAAAATAAATTTTATGTTTCTGCACACTTAGAACTTTTTGAGCAAATCTCAATAAAACTTGGAGTTTAAGATAAAAGAATGCTTGGAAAGTAATTTATGACTAATTAGATAGGGACAAACTCCAGATTCACATTTCTGTGGTGGCACTGGAACCTGGGGCTCTAGTGACATCCCTGGGTATAAAGCTGGAGATGGTGGTCTCCTTTCTCTCCTGAAGAAATTTACTCATAGTTCAAAGAGTTAGAGTGTGAACTCAGGATCCTTCCTTCTCAAGGGAGCAAAGGTTTTTCTCTTTCGTTTTTTTTTTTTTCCTCTTTCCTTTTAAAAAGGTAGGGGGTTAGCTACCTCTCTCTTCTACAGAAACACTCAAATTCATTTTATTGTTATTTTTCACCCAAAATACCAACTTTGTATGTATGTGTAAGACACCTGGTTTCTGTCTCATTGCCCCAAGAGTAAGAAACTCAGGTACACTAGAACCACAAAGTTGTTATTTGGTTTTAAGTAAATACTAATTTGTCTGCTCTGTTCCAGAAACCTCATGTTGTATTTCTGGTAAAATTAACAAAGATAAATACTAAAAAATTAACAGTCTGAAATTTAAAATCTCCACCAAGAGGTAACTTCAGACCCCAAAAGCTTCACAGGTGAAATATTCCAAACATTAAAGAATAACATAATCTCACATAATCATCCACAGAATAGAAAAGTATGAAGTCTTTAACCCCAAACCTGAAAACATTACAAAGAAGGACAATTATAGGATAATAGTTCTCATGAACACACACAGAGAAAAATCATACATAAAATAGTGAAAAGCCAACCTCAGTGATTTATAAAAAGCAAAATACATTATGATGAAAGAGGATGAACTTCAGATATATCAGGTTGGCTTAATGCTGAAAAATTAATCAAGACTACTCACCATATTAACAGAATAAATATGAAAAATCATGAGTATCTCAATACATGCAGATAAAGCATTTGACGAAATTCAATACTCATTCATAATTAAAAAAAAAAGAAGGGGGGGGCACCTGGGTTGCACAGTCAGTTAATCATCCAACTCTTCGTTTTGGCTCTGGTTGTAATCTCAGGGTTTTGAATCAAGCTCCACGTCAGGCTCCCGACTCAGTGCCGAGTCTGCTTTTCCCTCTCCCTCTGCTCCACCCACCATGCACCTGATCTTTCTCTAAAATAAATATATCTTTAAAAACAAAAACATAATAAAAAACCCTCTTAACTAAGAATAGAACTTCCTCAAAATAATAAAGCACATTTATAGAAATCCTTCAGTTAAAATCAATATTAGTTCTAAACTACTCAACAGCTTCTCCCTGAAGTCAAGAACAAGACAAGGATGTTCACTTTCACCACTTCTGTACAATATGTTAATGGCATTCTTAGCCAGTACAATAGGCAAAGGAAAGAAAAAAGGTACAAACATTAGGAAGAAGGAAGTAAACTTGTCTTTATTCATAGAGAAAACAATTATTTACCCAAAATTTTTTAAGAAACCTACAAAACAACTAACAGAATAAGTAAACTTAGCTAGGTTGTAGATTACAAGACTGGTATGCAAATACCAACAGTTTTTCTTTTTTTCCCTCTGTAAGATTTTATTTATTTATTTATTTATTTATTTATTTATTTATTTATTTGACAGACAGAGAGAGAGAGAGAGAGAGAGAGAGGATATTAAGCAGCAGAAGCAGGCAGAAGAAGAGGGAGAAGCAGGTTCCTCACTGAGCATGGAGACTGACATGGGCTCAATGCTAGGACCCCGGGACCATGACCTGAGCTGAAGGCAAACACTTAACCAATCGAATCACCAAGAGGTCCCTCAAATGTTGTTCTATACACTGCATTAGATGTCAATTCTCTCCAAAATGATGAATGCAATCCCAATAAAAGCCCTAAAACAGTAGGTATAGGCGTATGGGTATGAGTGTATGGGTATGTGTGTGTGTGTGTGTATTTGTGAAAACGGACAAGCTGATTCTAAAGTTTACATGAAAATGCAAAAGTTCATAGTACCACGGCATTGTCCATAATGTCTGGAAACATAGAAATTATTTTAATATATTTTCTAGATTAAAGTTGTTCTTGGCAACATTCTGTATTCATGCTATATACCCAAGTAGCCTTGAAGAAAATAGCAAAGCTAGAAGGCTAATACTGCCGGATGTCAGGACATGTGTATACAAAGATCTGTGTACTTTATGTAATTTATTCCTAAGGGGGGAAAATGATAACATTTGTGTATAAAAGTGACACTGGAGATACTGGATTCAGTGATACTGAGTATCTGAGTCACATCAACCAGCTACTTCAAAGGTCCAGAGCCTCTAAAAAGTGATTCCTGAAGACCATGTCAATGGTCTTAAAGCTCTGAACTAACCCTTTGTGCTCTAATTTCCTCCTGAACTCCACCTGGCTCATACGTACTAACTCACCTGGGTCACTCTGGCTTGGGAACGCTTCCTCTAATATCCATGGCTCCTCTCCTTGCTCCAATTTGAGGATCACTTCTGGTTTATCAATGGAATACCCTGTGAATAAGAATTGTATGACTTGAGACAAACTTAATGAGTTTCAGGGCCTCTAAAGGTGGAGGACATTATAACTGAAAGGCTATACAATAAAAAAAAAAAATTAATTTAATCCCTGTTATGAGGCAGAGGAAAACAAATTCCTTCTGATAACCAAAAGAGAAAAGTCATCCTTGACCTCCAAATTTCAAAGCTAAATACTATTATATTCTTAAAAAAAACTCTGCAAGTCTCTGTAAATAAAAAAGGACACCCATACTAGGGTGAAACAAACACTACCTACCCACTGAGACAAGATGGCTATAGTTCTCCAACATCACATCCCTGTACAGGGTCCTCTGAGCAAGGTTCAGGTGCTGCCACTCCTCCTGAGTGAAGCCCACAGTAACATCCCTGAATGACAATGATCCCTGGAAAAGCAATTTTCTGCTCAGTCTGAAGTGGTTAGAATTAGATAATGAGAAATAAAGAAGTTAAAAGACTAATTTGTACCATTTTTTATCATTGAAAACTAGCCAGAAAATATTACTAAGGACCTCTACTATATAACTTGTTGTGTGTTATACTTTGTGAGTAAAAAGGAAATAATAGAAGTACCATTGGTGAATTATTTTATTATTTAATGCAAAAAATCTGAGTGCCCACATGTTCCTGGAACTGCCCTGGTTTCTGAGAATTCCAAATTGAATAAAATACTCTTCCCAGTCTCAAAGAATTTATCCTCATAAGAAAACATACAAAGACACAGCCTCCACAGGACTTAAAGAATCCATACCACAAACATATGCAATGCAGACAGAAATAATAAAGGGGTTCTGTGCAAGTCCCCATGCTCTGATCAGACTGATGTCTCTGATCATATGGGTACAAAGAGGCACAAAGCCCCTGTTGATGCACTGTCCCCAGTTTGCATTTTTCCCTTTTGATTCTCCCCTCCTTTGTTTTTTGCTGTTCCCCCTTCAAGAACCGTACATCAAACACCAGGACACTTAAAAACAATTGCATATACTAGGAAAATTAGAAAATAACGGCATACCCAAGGAAAAGCTCAGAAAACATCTAAGACATTAAGTTTACACATCAGTCTGATCCTTGGCACAGAGACAGGCTATAACAATCAATCAATCAATAAATATATACAAAAATAATAAGGAAATATAGCAAACATTGCAGAATGGAGAGAATCTGATTTCCAGAGTCACCACATTATCAAATGCCCAGTGTTCAATCAAAAAATTACAAGGTATACAAAGAAATAGGAAATTTTGAAACCATAAAACTTCTAGAAAAAACACAGGTGGTAACAAGCTTAATAATTTTAAATTTGACACTAAAAGCAAAAGCAACAAAAGAAAGAATAAATGAGATTACATCATAACTACAAATTTTTGCACACCAAAGAAAACCATCAACAAAATGGAAAGGCAATCTACTTACTGAATGGGAGAAAAAATTTCCAAGTAATACATCTAAAGGGATTAATACCCAAAATACATAAAGAACTCACATACAACTCATTTGCAAAAAAAAAAAAAATCTGATAAAAAATAGGCAGATTTAAATAGACCGTTTTCAAAGAATGGATGACTAACAGGATCACTAAAAAAAAAAAGGCTCAACATCACTAATTATCAGGAAGATACAAATAAAAACCACAATGGTATCAATCACCTGTTAGAATGGCTATCAAAAACACAAGAAGTAACAAATTATACTGAGGATGTAAAGAAAAAGGAACCTTGTGGACTGTTGGTGGGAGTGTAAATTGGTGCTATGGAAACAGTACAGAGGCTCTCCAAGAAAACTAAAAATAGGGCGGCCTGTGTTGAGCGCCACCTTCAGCCCAGGGCCTGATCCTGGAGACCTGGGATCAAGTCCCATGTCGGGCTCCCTGCATGGAGCCTGCTTCTCCCTCTGCCTGTGTCTCTGCCTCTCTCTCATTAATAAATAAATAAATAAAATCTTAAAAAAAAACCCACTAAAAATAGAACTACCATATGATCCAGCAATTCCACTTCTGGGTACTTATCCAAAGGAAAAAAAAAATAATTCAAAAGGGTATATGCACCCCCATGTTTACTGCAGCATTACTTATACAGTATCCAAGATATGGAAACAACCTAAATGTCCATCAACGGATGAATGCATAAAGAAATTGTGGTGTATAAATGTACAATGGAGTGTTATTCAACTGTAAAAATGAATGAAACCTTGCCATTTGCAATAACATAGATGGACTTTGTGGAATGATGCTAAGTGATAAAGAGAAAGACAAGTACCATGTGATCTCTCTCATATGTGGAATCTTTAAAAAAAACAAAACAGGGCAGCCCAGGTGGCTCAGTGGTTTAGCGCCGCCTTCAGCCCAGGGCCTGATCCTGGAGACTCAGGATCAAGTCCCGTGTTGGGCTCCCTGCATGGAGCCTGCTTCTCCCTCTGCCTGTCTCTCTCTCTCTTTCTCTCTGTCTCATGAATAAATAAATAAAATATTTAAAAACAAAACAAAACATACTCATAGAACAAACTGGTGGTTGCCCGAGTTGGGGGAAATGGGTGAATTCTTTTTTGTTTGTTTAAATAAACTGTTTTAAAAGAAAAAAGAAGGGCAGCCTAGGTGGCTCAGTGGTTTAGCACCTGCCTTCAGCCCAGGGCATAATCCTGAAGTCCTGGGATCGAGTCCCATGTCAGGCTCCCTGCATGGAGCCTGCTTCTTCCTCTACCTGTGTCTCTGCCTCTCTCTCTCTGTGTCTCTCATGAATAAATAAAATCTTAAAAAAAAAATGAAGAGAAAAGAAAACGACATACCAATATCCTTTATGAACATTGATGTAAAATATCCTCAACAAAAAATATTACCAAACAATTCAGCAGCATAGTAAAAGGATTATAATACACCACAAAGGTACTAAATGAAATATAAGGTACTGGCACAAAACAAGACACAAAGATCAATGGAACAGAATAGAGACCCCAGAAATAAACCCATACCTATATGGTCAATTAATCTATGACAAAGTAAGAAGTAAGATTAACACTGGGAAAAAGACAGTTTCTTCAACAAATGGTGCTGGGGAAACTGGACAGCTAAATGCAAAAGAATGAAACTAGACCACTTTCTTACACTATACACCAAAATAAACTCAAAAGGAATTAAAGACCTAAATGTTAAGACCTGAAACCATAAAACTCCTAGAAGAAAACAGAGCCAGTAATTTCTTTGACACTGGACATAGAAACATTTTTCTAGATATGTCTCCTAAGGCAAGGGAAACAAACCAAAAATAAACTATTGCAACTATACCAAAATGAAAAGATTTTGCACAAAGGAAATCATCAACAAAACAAAAAAGCAAACCAGTAAATGGGACAAAGTATCTGCAAATGAATATATCCAATAAAGGGTTAAAATCCAAAGCATAAAAGGCTTATATAACGCAACACCAAAAAAAAAAAAAAAAAAAAAACCTGATTAAAGAAAACATACAGATGGCAAACAGACACATGAAAAGATACTCAACATCACTCATCATGGAAATGCAAATCAAAACCACAATGAGAGGGCAACCTGAGTGGCCCAGCGGTTTAGTGCCACCTTCAGCTCGGGGTGTGATCCTGGAGACCCAGGATTGAGTCCCATGTCGGGCTCCCTGCATGGAGCCTGCTTTTCCCTCTGCCCCTCTCTCCCTCTCTCTCTCTCTCTCTCTGTCATGAATAAATAAATAAATAAAAATCTTTAAAAAAGAAAAAAAAACACAATGAGATATCACCTTACATCAGTAAGAATATCTAGTATCAAAAAGAAATAACAAGCATTGGTGAGGATGTGGAGAAAAAGGCACACTTGTACATTTTTGGTGGGAATGGAATTGGTGCAGCCACTGTGGAAAATAATATGGAAGATCCTCAAAAAATTAAAAACAAAAATACCATGTGATCCAGTAATTTTACTACTGGGCATTTATCCAAAGAAAGCAAAAATCTAAACTGCAAAGATATATGCACCCCTATATTTACTGTAGCATTATTTACAATAGCCAAGATATGGAAACAACCCAAATGTCCACTGACAGATGAATGAGTAAAGATCTGGTATACAGACACAATAGACTATTACTCAGCCATAAGAAATAATAAGATCTTGCTATTTGTGACAAAAAGGAAGAACCTAAAAGGTATTATAGCTAAGTGAAATACGTCAGACAGAAAAAGACACATACCATATGATTTCACTTACATGTGGAACCTAAAAAACAAAAATGAGCAAACAAATGAAAACTAAACTCATAAATACAAAGAACAAATCAGTGGTTGCCAAAGGGGATGGGAGATTGGTGAGAAAAAAATATAGATACCTTCAGTTATAAAATAAATCAAGGAGATGAAAAGTACAGAGCAGTATATAAAATCAATAATATTGTGATAATATATGGCAACAGCTGGTGACTACACTTATTGTGGTAAACACTGACTAATGTATAGAATTGTTCAATTGGGATGTTATTCACCTTAAATTAACACAAAATTGTATTTAATTATACTTCAATTGAAAAATAAAATAAAATAAAAACAATTACATACCATGAACAAGTCTATTCCTGGATTCCAAGGATGGTTCAACATACAATAATTAATCAATGTAATATACCACATCGATACAATGAAAGAAAAAACTACATGACTATCTCCACTGATGCAGAAAAAGCACTTGGCAAAATTCAACAATCTTTTATGTTAACAACACTTGACAAAATAGAAATAGTAGGGAACTACCCTCACATAATAAAAGCCATGTATGTAAAAAACACAGGAAAAATTATACTCAATGGTGAAAGGTTGAAAGCTATTCTTCTAAGATCAGGATCAAGGCAAGGCTGTCTGCTTTTACCACTTCTATTCAACACAGTACTGGAAGTTCTAGTCAGAGCACTGGACAAGAAAAAGAAATAAAAGGTATCCAAATTGGAAGGGAAAAAGTAAAATTATATCTGCAAATGTAGAAAAACCTAAGGACTTCACAAAAAAATAAACCCTATTCGATCAACTAAATGCTGAATTCATTTATTTTTTTGTGAAGTATATATGTCAACACACAAAGATCAGCTGCATTTCTATACAGAAACAATGAAACATCTGAAAAGGAAATTACAAAAACAATTCCATTTACAAAAGCATCAAAAGAAATCTTAGGAATCAATGTAGCCAAAGATGCAAAAGATTCACACAATGGAAACTACAAAACAGGGCTAAAACATATTAAAGAAAATATAAATTAATGGAACCACATCCCATGTACATGGATTAGAAAACTTATTGTGAAAATGTCAGTATTACTCAAAGCAAACTACAGATTCAATGAAGTCCCTAGCAAAATGCCAATGATTTTTTTTTTCAGAAATAAAGACATCTATCC